TGTGTTGGGAGTCAGGTCAGCAGTTCAAAACCATCACTAGCCGCTCCATGGAGAAAGATGAAGCTTTTTAGTCCTATAAAGAGTTAGTGTTAAGACTTCCATTGTTTGTCTAAATAGGCTCCAATCACATTAAGGACGTAATCTGTGCAAGTCAACAATCTATGTATTTACACTTCTCAATAGTGTTTTAACTACATTACCATGGACTACATCAATGGCACTACACAGAAGGACTTTATGCTCCAGGGAGATGATCAATAAGATCCTCTTTCATGAAATAACAAAGCTATCTCTAAGGTGAACTATAGGCAGATAAGAAGACTTAGGAACTGATTTGGGCTCACACGCAATCCTAGCTCCAATCCAAGAATAACGTTTTCAGATATGGCCCAGCCCCATAAGCACCCCCCAAAGAAAGCACGGAGGCTATGGGTGCTGCGGCAGACTGTCAAGAAGAAACTAGGTGGTGCCCTGGCTATCAGAAAAAAACTACAGCTGGGGTCTTAGAGGCTTGTTTTCACACAAGCAGCCCTCTGAGTGAGACATCAACGAGGCTCGTGTGGAAGCAATGTGCGAGTCCGTGATCCAAGGGCTGTAACGCTGTAAACCAAATCTGAAGGAGAGAAGGATCCGTTTACATTGTGAAATTCTGGCTTGCGGAAGCCTGTAAATGACAGTGGAAGCCCAAAGTACATTCAGAGGATCCACACATGGAATAAGCCTCTGGTGATTCCCCTCTGACCATAATTGAGGGATGGGAATAACCTGGTTATCAGACAGAGTATTGGATATAATTTTAGTACATTAAAATGATAAATGTGACTTTAATGATTAAAACCTTGTCATTTGATCTTTTGATTCACTTTGAGCTTATTTGATTTTTAATATTTTCTTTTATTTCTCAAACCAGGACTATCTCTGTTGTATCTTATTATATTGTTGGTAGTGTTTTTGCCTCTCTGTTATGTATCTTTTATAAGTTTCTCAGTATATGAAACCCAGGTTGTGAGAATCTATGGAGACAATGACTAGAATATGGTTCCTAGGGGGGGGAAAGGTGTGTGTAGCTGGGGGGGGGGGGAGTTAATGGGGAGCTGATGTCAAGGAGCACGAGAAGGAAGAAAATGTTTTGAAAATGATTGTGATAGTGAATATACAACACTGCTTGAATATGACTGAACTATTGGTATGGTGTCTGGATTATGTCTTAATAAAATGGTTTAAAAAGCAAGAGTTACAGTCTTGGAAACCCAAGGGGGAACTCCTACTCTCTCCTACAGGGTCCCTGGGAGTTGGAATTGATGGCAGTGAGTTCGAGTTCCAATTCAGACTGTTACAGAAAAATGTACACAAAAGGTATCAAAGGTTGAGATTGTAAAATTTTGGTTTTTAATAAAATTTCTCATCTATTTTACTTTTAACTATTTACTATTTCCTAGTAAACACTTAAATGACATAGTCCTAAAATTTGCAACTATTTTAGATATAAAATGATTGTGAAACAAAATAAAACAAATAGGCACATTACTTTCCCAATTATAAAGTGTCTTGCTTAGTGTCATTTAATCAAATAGCTTAAGAGTGCTATTATGTTTATGTGGTGGGCTCTGAAAAATAAAATCTAGTTCTACAAAAATTTGCTTATGTGTACTTTAAACAGCAGAGACACTGTTGGAATAGACATGAGGTCATTTAACACCACTTTATAAACACACACACACCTGTGTATGCAAGTTTCTTATATAGGTCAGGGCATATAGCAAATAGACTTTATCTTAAAAAATTCACACAAAAGACGAGTGGCAGAGTACAGATTTTATAAACAGCATACTACTGAGTTTTAGAATTCTTACCAGGAATGAATAACACATCTCCAGCTTCAAGGGTACACTCATATCTTCTAGCCTTGGAAAACAGTGGATATTTTGCCAAGTCTGGCTTATCTATATTCAGTACTTCTGATTTAGTACCTAAGAGTTTCAAAAAAAAGAATCTAGATGGAAAAAAGTTGGTAAAATTTTAAAAGTAGCCACAAATATAAATATGAAAATTGATTCTTTTCTGTACAATTACTGAACCCACCTGAAGAGAACAATTACTATTCTCCTGAAATCTCAGACAATTTCCAATGACCTACCCTCTAATTATGGCCATTGGCACCCTTGCAACATAATTAAGATAACCTGAAAAATCTCGTTCTTCATGTACCCTATCATTACCTGTGTACACATACACAATGCAGAACACAATACATCATAATTAGAAAGAAATCCTAAGATGTTCTATGGGAATAAAAAGAGTTCTCAAAAACAGTCAATGAATAGACCAGATTTTAGAAATGTAAATGTAATACACGTGAACGTACCTGATAAATATAAATACTGGGCATCCCGAGGACTGAATAGTACAACACGCTTTTTTCCTGTCACTTGTATTAAGAAGTTATCCATAATCTGAAGACCAATAAAAACTTATCGATAAATAATATCTAACATTCAAATAAATAAAACCAAAATATTCTAAACAGCCGACTGTAAATCCTACTCTTTAGCAGAAATGTTGTCTGCTTCAATAGACAACATATATAACCTAAAACTATTTATTCTACTTGAACAATGAAAGCATGTGGATTCCACATACTACCACGCCTTTAAAAAAAACATGTCTACAGCATTGCTTTAACCATGGAAAGGTTAAGTAAGTCATTAGGAAACCTGGGTCACGAGACTATATTGCCCTTGACCTGCCATTAACCGGTAGTGAGAGTTATTAAACCTATCTGAGCTCTCCTTAGTTACTATTTACTTCACTTGTCTGTCAAAGAATGCTATAATGCTAGAGCATAGATTAAAAGCCCTGGAAAAATGCAAGGCACTGCTGCAACCACTACTCAACCTTTTTAATGTACAACCAACCATAATTTGACTATAAACTATTTGCCATCAAGTGGATTCCACCTTGTAGTGACCTTCAGGGGCACAATAAAACTGCCCTCCGTGGTCCCCAAGGCTATTCCTCCATGTTAGCAGACGGCCACAACTCTGCACTGCAAAGCAGTTGGTGAGTGTAAACCACAACCTCGGTTAGCAGCTACACACTTAACCACGGCACAACAATCTGGATACAGGCACGTTACTTTCTATGTTATTTCTTTAAGAATATAATCTGGCAACTGCTTTCGAGTCAATTCCGACTCACAGTGACCCGTCGATTCACAGAACAAGGCAGCGCTGGCCCTGTGGGCTTCGGAGAACGCAACTCTCCACAGGAGTAGAGAGCCTTCCCTCTCCTGCGGAGCAGCTAGGGGTTTCAAGCTACTGCGCTCGTGGCCAGCAGCCTAACTGTGACCACTAAGCTTCCTGGGATCCTTTTTATTTGCAAAGGTTTTTTTTTTCATTGCTGCAAAATGTTAGAAGTCAGAGCCACATAATTCTCAGACAAGGAACTAAAACATCTATTTAAGTAAGATCTATTAATGATTAACATACTCTTTCTACCTATGCATTTCTTCTAACACTATCCTCCTCTTAGTACTTATGTGGACCTTTATAGTTACAATTCCTTTGACTGAATTTTAACTTAAGAAAATTTTATATGTTCTATCCTTTCTAATTCAAGGTAAAAGGGAGATCACTTAGAATTCAAAATAACCATGGAATATAGTTAAAACTGTGTTTGAGCTACCACTCATTTTCTCCCCATGCAGTTCATGTAAGACCTTTATGAAACAAAGGTTTCATAAGATTGCAGAGTGATTTCATTTAATCAGTTACTATGTTGAAATACTATCAAGAGGTCCTGTGCTGAATTATAAAATGTACGCATTAAAACACAATAGTTTGATTCAGAATAAAACAAAAAACATTAAAGCATATCCTTTGTAAATCATTGGGGATTATTTTAGCTTTTGAATTTTCTTCCAAACCACGCACAATATTTTTAATGTTTTAAAATATTTACGTATACATGCAGATATGTAAGGAGGCCTAGTGGTAATGGTGTTTTATGAGTTGGGGTGCTAACCACAAGGTAAGCAGTTCTGAAAGACCAGTGGCTCCGTTGGAGAGATAAGCCTTTACAGGGGTGGTTCCACAGCACTGAGTAGAATAAATACGATCAATATCCTATGCCTCTCGCTGCCCTACAAATACAGTAGACATTTGCCACCATCAGGGGTTATTACACTCTAAGGCTTTTAGACAGACCCACATCCTTACAATTGGTGCTTTGCCTTCCTCAGGTATAACTTCCATACACATATTTATGACCCCTGATATCACAAATTGATCGAATCTGCAACTGTCTCAATGCCCTCTCTCTCTCTATGCCCTTTTTCACATATGGAAGATTTCTTCATAAAACGTGGTATCTATACCAGGGTAAACTAAACAATAGGATTACTGGAGTTTCAGATCACACATGGGCAGGTTTAAAAAGGTATGCAGTTAAGATTGCTACAGACAAATTCTCTCAGTAACACAATTGGTAGGGTGTCTTCCCCCAAAAGGGGTTCACTTTTGGCACAAGGAAAAAAACTACTTTCCTTGGGCATATTAAATTTTTAACAAAACTCAGGTGGACATTTTCCCAAAGCACTAGAGCCTTGCCCCCCATCTAAAGCAGGTTTTAGATAGATCAATTATTTTAACAACAGGCTTACAGACATCTCATAGACCTATCTCTATAGACACTAGTAAAATTGACAGGTGAACAAAACCGCATTTTCTAAAAAAAACTAACATAATTATTCGCTATTAATTTATAAATGATATTATGTAATACTATACATAAAATTTATATCTAAAATTATACAGCATTTGAGATATTGGTTAGATGTATTGTTTTTAAAGGTTGCTTGGGTCGGTTAGCATGACAATCTTTACTGTACTGTTTATCTCTACATCTGATATTTACTTTTTTTCCCCTTCAATATTTTATTGAATTTTATTGGTTTTGCAACTTCTTCACTGCACACAGCCTGAATCCAAAGAAAAAGGGCTGTCCATGTTCCCCAACACACACCCTTCAAGAAAAGTCTTCAGTTCCCACTTTGGCCATTAGTTTCTCAAGAGTCCAAAGATCACATCTTCTAGTGCAGCACTGAGAGAAGTAGTGTTACAGTGGCAGGCCCAACTTGTCACTTCTCTTCACACCACTAGCTCTCTTTGCGCACCTGGGCTTCCTCCTCTTCATTAAAGTTGTTTTTGATACTGAAGGTCTTGCGAATCTCCTCAGCAGTTTTCCCCTTGATCATATTGGCAAAGGTCTTGCATGTAACATCAAGCAAACCTTTAATGTCTAAGTAGTTTGCAGCCAGAATAAGTTCAAAAAGTGTTCCCTGGTCAACTTTCAGGAATTCTTGGTCCCAAACTGGGATATCATGTTCTTTTCTCTTTGTTCTTATCATCCTCAGGAGGAGGAGGGTTGTCCTTGTGCTGGATGCACCACTGAATGACCTTTTTTAATATTGCCGCATTGACATTTGGTAAAGGAACTGGATCATCATCTCCTTCAGCATCCATTTCCAAATCTTCCAACATGGTCTTGATAGGCACAGATTGCTTGGCAATTCCCACACTGACTTCAAATATCTCTCCATCAGAATTGTGTAACTTAATTGACGGCATGATGATCCCTCTTAGGGAGACAGCAGACCCAAGGCTGGCGAGAACTGGGAGGCGTCAGCGGCACCCACAGAGAAAGGAATAGAACAAGGCCACTCTGATATTTACTTTCTAAGAACTTTTGGACTACATTTATATTTATTACTGAAGTAATGCTTCCATGAATTACTGATTTACTAGAATTAATACTCAATTTATGTTTGCATCAAATAGACACCTATCTGTGGATAGGTAGGTGTGCCACACAGAAAACTCCAAGATTAGATGGCTTAGAAGAAAATGAATTTGTCTCATTAAATGGCTTAAAGTCAGCATAAATAGGTCAATGTAAATGGTTCCTGTAATTTTCATTGAAGAAATCAAAATGTGTCAAATGACGCATCCCATAAACCTAGTGTTAAGTCACGAAAACTTCCAAGATGACCTAAGAGAGGTATGACCATCAACTTCGACAAATGGAGACATTGTGTCTGAAATCCGGAGTGCTGTAAGACAGCTGAGGAATGACTGCTGATGTGATTTCTACTTAAGTTGAGCTCTAACATAGTTTGGCATTTCCAGGCTAAGTGTCGTGGCTTCAGGCTGTTAGCTTGATGAGTCCCAAAAGCATTGTGGGAACATCAGCTAGTTCAAAGAGCTGATCTTCTTATCAGTCTTTCAAGTTAATGAAGATGATTTTATAAAGTGAACTGTAACTGGACTGAGTCTTAGATTTACTGATACAAGAGAGCAATGTTCAATGCTCAATAATAATAATAATAATAATAAAGCAGCTCATGAACGATCTGCTGAGCCTTTTAAATTCAAGGCAGCACAGCTCTGCTTGATCATCAGTTTGCAAAATATCCACCATTTTAATATTTGATAAAGTATATTCATGAACATATTTGATAGGAAAAATTGCCCATCTTATTACCATTTCTATATTTTTCAGAATATACAAGTTTTTACCTATATGTCTTATAATAAAAGAAATAAAATCTCTGGGTAAAAAAGTAATAAATAAATAGACTGAAGGCAGCTCAGAGGTTATGGGAACTGACTTCAGGAAGCCCAAAGGAGAAGTCTCAATAGACTGTTTGGAAGGACACAGGGTGATCACAGGGACTTATGCCCAAGAATCCTTTCCATCACAACAACGCACCTGCTTACTGTCCAAATGCACAAAAGGCTGTCCTTGGAGAATTTTGTTGGGAAATCTTACCCCAACTACCCTACAGCCCTCCCTGATTTTGCCTTTACACTTCTTTTTGTTCTCAAAACTCAGATTTAAAAGAAATACGATGTAAAAATCCCTCAAGGATGCCCTAAACTACCATTTTTAGGTGGTAAATATCAAGTGCAGAATTCTTCAGGGAAAGGTTAAGAGTGAAGGCAACATGGTTCAAAAGTGTATGGACCTAGAGGAGGGGTAAGTTGAGAAATCATACCTTCACATCTTCATACTTTTTGTTTAATAAAGGTTTCGATGATTTTATAGCAACACTTTTGAATCACCCTCTATACACAAAGATGGATCAAGAACAAGCCACAGAGAAGTGCAAATACGAAGAACTAAATAATCCATTCCCATAGCACCACTGTGGAGAACATCTAATTTCAAAAGCTACGTTCTAGCAAATTGTTTGTTAAGGATCTTCAGGGTGTTCTTTAGAAGGGACCCTCGTGGCATAGTGGTCATGGATTGGGGCGCTAATTACAAGGCAAGCAGCTGGAACCCACCAGCTCCTCCATGGAAGAGATGAAGCTTTGTTTTCCTGTAAAGACAGTCCTGTATCGGGTCTCTATCAGATGGAATCGACTTGAAGGCAGGGAGTTTTGGTTTTTATAGAAGCGAAAACTGGGAATGTTACATCTCTAAGCAGTTGTGTAACATACATCGTAATGAGTCCAGAGTTGTAATCCCGGTGAGCTAATACGAAACACACTTGAAAAGAACTGCTCCTTTCTGAAGAAGTCTGGGAACTTAATGTCTCCTTCTAATAAAGGAAACTGCTTTCTGATATCTGCAATATCCTGCATTGAGAAAAACATAACAAAGGATTAGAGTTTTTAAAAAGGGTATCTGGAGAACTTAATAGTAAATAAAAGATTGGCATTTATTTTATTCACGATTACCATCAGACCCCATAATATACACAATGGGGCAAAACTTGGTTTGCTGTTTAAAGTACTATGATGTGAATATACCTGCCAACACACGGTCCTTCTAAAATGAAATACGTATATAGCAGAAATACAGATTCAACAATATCACCACTGTTAAGGGACTCTAATACAAAGCACTGTACATTCAGGAGTCTACAACTAGAATGCCATTGACCTATGGGTTCTACTAAGGAAAAAGAATGAAGTGGAGAAAGAGGTACTAGATCACTTTACTGGGACCATTTCAGGAATCACATGACATGACAGCCGCCTGAACTCACTCGGAGCACATGCCATAGTATTCAGAAGGAAGGTGGTATGACTCCTACTGTCCAAGCCTATAGAGTGAATTATACAAGATCTTTAATAATAACTTTTCATTAAAATTGTTTTAGTTGAATGGACATTTGTAAAGTACACAGAAGAAATTTCTTGGCTGCGGGGAAATACATGTTTTATGACCAAATGACCAGTTTTAAGATTATTTTAAACACTATGTTTCTATAGTCCTACGTGAAAGATAAGGAATCAACTTTCTTTTCTTTAATCATTTTATTGTGGGCTTGTACAACTCTATCACAATCCATACATACACCCACTGTGTCAAACACATTTGTACATCTGTTGCCAACATCATTCTCACAACAAGTAATCAACTTCCAATAATCTATTTTTAGGTCCAGGACACAATCAGTGAGAAAAGAATGGAAAAGGATGAAACATGTATGTCAGGCAGTATGTACAAAATTTATAGCACTGGTTTTATATCTATCTATATCTATATATACATATACACACATCCATTTAGGTTTCAAGTAATTGTTATAGATTAATAATATTTACCTTTCTAGGATCTTCCCCAATTGACCGTAAGTAGTACTTCTCATCCTAAACAACCCAAAGAAACACTGTATCAGCATTCATTTAAAAACATCAAGAAGCAATGACAGAAGGAAGGAAACAAGTCCTAAAATCGTACCCAATTAAGCAGTTTTCTAAATTCAGTTATCTTATCCTTTCTACTAATGCTCTCTGGTGGCCATATGAAGAATTGTTTTTACATGTTTCTTGCAATAATGACTTTATCCACAAAACAATAAAATAAATTCTGAAAACCATAATGCTTATGTAGACGTTACTTCTGAAGTTATTTGTACTCAGTCTTAAGACTATTAACAAAAGATTTCTCACTTGCATAATGCACATGATCCACAATGTAATTTTGAGGGCCAAAAATAAACTTCTTTAATATAACACAAATGTAGAATAAGAGATAAACTACTGTATTTTTTAAAATAATTTTTTAAATCTAGAAAGTGAGCTTTGAGTGAATAGTTCCTATGTGTCAGGCATTGTTCTAAGAACGTTATAGCTTTTATTTAATCAAGCCTTACACAAACCTTATGAAGTAGGTACTGCTCTTATCTCCATTTTATAACTGAATGAAGCACAGAACAGTAATTTGATGATTAAAAGATGATAGATCGCAAGAGTTAAACTCTGTTAAACTTTAAGAATGATTATCAGAGACGACTATAGTTCTTATATATTTGACATTCTTTACAAATAAAATCCTTTCAGCATATAGATATTAATGTCCTCAAAACACGTTAAAAATAATTACCTCTGAAATAAAGAATTCTTTATGTTTTTCTTCTGCTGCCCTCTGGACCAATTTGTTAAAAGGTAGTGTTCTGAAATAAACATGAAGAATTCTTGGACTTTTTAAACAGGTAATAATCTAATCATCACATGTATTTACACTACGTCAATATAAGTTGGGACAACTTGATGGCAGTGGATGTTTAAGTAGGTCCACGCTCACACTACGTATGTAGCAACAAACACAGTACCGTTTTCTAGAAATATACTGAGTTAAGAGGAATGTAGAATACCAGTTGTGTTATGAGGCAACATCATTTACTATAAAAAAACCTCTGACAGGTGAACTACATCTAGACTAGAGGGGCTGTCAATGGACTGAAAATACTTGTAGGAAGCACAGAATTTAGCCTTGTAGTATAATTCTCCGTGGAGGAACGTGGAAACTAAGTTCATGGGCTGTTTTTAGCTATTGATTTCTGTGGACCCTATAGTTTACCTAAAACTGTGGTATTTCGCTATTAACCTTCAATCTTGTTCCCTTACGACAAAGTTGTCACTTGATCCCTGAACTCAAGTAAGTATTCCCACTAATACTGTCCTATTAGAACACCATCCCTTGCTCCGTAGCCTTCTACAAAACTAAGCGACTCTGCTGCCAAGTTTCAGACTGCTGGGGAACTTGAGGCCACGTAGGAATCTTGCAGAGTGAGCCTCACTGGAGAGTACTAGGAGTCAGTCAACTACTCAGAGCAAGGTGGGTACTGACATCAGGCACACTTCCACCCTCTCATCACTATGGTTTTGTTTCTCCAGAACCCTATCCTTGGTATCAAATGTACCAAGCCGAGTTCTCTAGAAAAGCATAAACAGTGACTCTTAGCTATAACACTTGTCTTAAGCGTTAAGAAAAGTCTTAAGTTGTCACGGACTTCATTTGAGACAAATGAACACGCACACACACAAATGTAGAGAGAGAGAACTTTACATCAAGGAAGTGGCATACACAGGTGTAGAAGGGGCTACGTCAGCAGGCCAGCTCCAGTCTGTGGGTTGATGTTAAGCTGGACTTTGTTTCTGAGGCATATAGCTGCAGGGACTGATGAAGCAGGAAGCAGCAAAGAAACGATCTAACATTAAAAGAAGAGATAATAGTGATATGTTGTGTAGGATTTCTTACTTTCTACCACTACTGGAGTGCAAGGTGAGCAGCCCAGCAGAGTAGTGGCTATGCATTGGGCTGCTAACCACAAGGTATCAGCAGTGTGAAATCACCAGTGGGCAACATGAGACAAAGATGACACTTTCTACTCTCGTGAAGAGTTAGTGCCTTGGAAACCCCAAGGGGATGCTCTGCTCTATCCTTATGGGGTAGCTGTGAGTTAGAATTGACTCAATGGCAGTGAGCTTTTTGTTTTTTACAGTGCTAGGTTAAAGGGCTTGGCCACTAACCAAAAGTTTGGTGGTTCAAACCCAACAGCCATTCTACAGAGTCGGCATCTGTAAAGATATGCAGCCTTGGAAACTCTATGAAGCTGTTTTGTCACCTGAGGCCACTGAGTCATCTGTCAGCATGATGTGCGACTGTATGACTCGAACGCTGTAAGCTATATTAGCAGTATTTCAAACAGCAGCAGTCACCTAAGTGGGGCAGGTTTCAAAAGAGCTTCCAGACAACGACAAACTTGGAAAAAAGACTTAGCCCTCTGTGAAGAGCAGAGGGATATTGTCTGATCTTATGTCAGAAAATGGGCCTCAATCGGAAGACTTGACCTTAATGACGTGGGTGGAATAAAGTTTCTAGAATCTTCATTTGCTGATGAGGCATGAAGCAAGGTGAGAAGAAAAACCTGCAAATATCCATTAACACTTGGAATATAGAATGCAAGAAATATGAACCTAGGCAAATGGAAGTCATTAAAAATGAAGTGGCATGCAAGACCAACATCCTAGGCATGAGTAAGCTAACTTGGATTGGCCACTTTGAATCAGACAAAATGGTCTATTATGCTCAGAATAACATTGAAAAGTAATGGCATTGTATTCGTTGTTAAAAAGATCATTTAAGACCTATCCTTATATAAAATGTAGTCAGTGATAGTGAATGATGGGGGGG